ATTCAGGGATCCAAATGAAGCGATGGGGCAAAGCCATTGTGGCTATTTGTGTGTATATGCAAGCATGCTCAGTGACCTGAAACACTGCTATGCGAGTCCGCACCGTTTCCAGGGTAAACCCTCGGATTGACTTTCCACAATCCCACGGGAGCCAGGCTTGGCAGTCTAGAATGAATCCCTGAATTGCATCTTTGGGACATTTATCATTTAAAATAATAATACTAGTAGTAATAAAACAAAGATTTTGTGTGACAAGCTTATTGATGGTTCATAACTCCAAGTCTTGCTTTCAGCAACTAAAATTTTATGAATTTCTACTAAGCCACCATAAAAGCTCACTCATGTCCAAAATAAGCCTATGAAGATGACAACGCATTCTCACCCCAAGGCGTCACCTTTGACCATGCTTCAATATTTGACGTTTTAGGCGCCCTTTAGCGTCACTTACATGACGCGATCCTACGGCGTCATCTAACTGACGCTAAAGGAAAGCGTCTGTTAGAGGACGCGGTTAGGTTTAGGTGTGGGGTGGGGGTAGGGTACACGCGATCCTAGGGCGTCATCTTGCTGACGCTAAAGGGCGCCTAAAGCGTCATATATTGAAGCATGTCCAAATGCTTCCCAAGGCGTCAGTTAAGTGACGCCTTGGGGGTGAGAATGGGCTGAAGATGAAGACATGCGTTTGAAAGTCTCAATCATAAAGTATCATAAATAGGCTTATATTTAAAAATCTAAATCAGTATTCTATATATGCTTACAATATGAGTGCTTTAAAGGCTACTTTTATAATAGTTTCAACTGAGCATCACATGAAAACATGACGACATAATTCTTTGCGACAAATAACCTCTCTACAGAGTAAACCAGTGCTGTTAGCCATGAGACTGAGATAGTGAAGTGACAAGAGGTCATTGGGTCTCATTCACCAAGCATGTGAACAAACAATTTAAAAAAAAAACAGATCACAATTCCCCAAAAATGTCGTAATAAAATGTATTCTAAATAGAAGCAAAATTATAGGAACAACAAGCCACACTGTAAAAAAATATTGTTGGTTTAACTTAAATTAAGTAACCTGGTTGCCTTAAAATTTTAAGTTCATTGAAATGAAAAAAGTGAGTTAATACAATGAAGGAGATTGATTTAATCATCAGAAACTCAAAACTCAAAATATTATGTTATCTGAACTATATCAATTATTTAAGTTGATTTCACAAAAGAAAACGTTTTTTTTTTTTTTTTTACCGTTGGTAATCATGGTAAGAAGTTATACTTCATCCGAACATGAGACATGGCTATAATTACATTGAAGTAGGCCTATGTTGCATCAGCTGTATTATATAATCTATATATAAAATTATAAAATACATGTATTTAATTTAATCTTAAACATAGGGTTCCATCATGCAGTTAAAGAGTAAGAAAAGCTGTGTTATATGTTCATCTGCGAAGGCTCTCTGAATAACGCAGATACAGTATATGCACACATACAGATGGCTAATAAAAGGTTAGAAATGTAGATCTGTATAAAACTGTGACCCTGGCAACACTGTCCTGAGGCATGTCTGAGACAGTAGAGCCGCCTCAAGTCTGTTGATCTTATCCTCACTGTGCTGATTCATGAGAAGCTGCTGAACCCTTAGCAATAATTGTGTTCTGGTTGAACTTCTCTTTCAGAGTGCCAGTGGCACCAACCAATGGAGACAAAAAACAGAACTTCACTGAAGTATGCCTCACATGGAATAATTTTATATTTTGTGCACAAATTAGTTTTTCAACTGTTTAGACAGGAGAAGAGCTATGCTATGGTGAAATTTCAAATGAATATCCTTTTAAAAAAAAATCAATGTTAAAGGTGTCATAGGAGAAGGTGAAGAGCAGGATTCTTCAAATCTGGACCCCTGAGGATCATCTTAGGATGTGTCCGAAATTGCATGCTATCTGAGTGGGAAGTACATTACATTAGGAATGAACTTCATGAACATTAAACAAGTGCATTCTATATAGTATATGAGCGAAATTTAAACTAACTCTGTCATGCTGGCTTTATCATGTAAGTCACTACACTGCCATTCACAACTTCTCTATACTGTCCATACGGGATAGAAAAGGGTCCATCGAATGTGAACTTCAGATTCTCGGCAGAAGTAATAGGTAATTTACTTTTCTCCAACTGTTTAGGAAATACTCTTTTCACATACTGTTTTTGGCTACATAGAATATGCATAAAGAGGTTAGCACCCACCACAATCAATGAAAAAGCTAATCAAGTCCAATGTCTTTACTCTGTATGCACTTAGTAGGTGAAAAAAGTGTCTGAATTCATATTCATAAAATATTAGGTAAAAAAGTACTGTCAATGATTCTCACGGTATCTTTTTTTTTCTCCAAAGGCAAAACTCTTCAACACAGAGTTCTAGGCTAGCAAGCAGCTCCAACATGAGTCACAACACAACATTCAAAGCAAAGAGTAATACTGTAAAAAATGCCAAAAGGACCAAAACGATGTACTCAAGTTACAAGGAAAATAACTGTATGAAGCACTTGAAACAATGGTATCCTATAAATCTATTTTATAAAAGTCCTTAATTAAAGAATAGCATATAAATTCTGCAAGATTTCGAGAGAGGAGTGAAACTGACTTGGAATAACAATTAGATTTGTGAATTCTGTAATGTTGTTATTTTATTTACATTAAGTTGTTGTAGTGGGCAATGATTTTGAGTTTGACTTTACTCATCTGTGAAGAGTTCTCAACCAATTACTCTCCTTTTCTGTAAAAACTAAATGTAGAGACCCTGATATAAAGGGCTATTCGATTAGAGAAAGTGACTCTATTGTGTGAAGCTTGAGACCTAAGCCTCTTGAGAAGTCAACACTCTCTTCAGTCTCTCACATCTGTTGATTGTGGTTTGCAAAGGACCTTTCCAGAGAAGAGCGATGTATTTGTAGGCGTCCAGTGGGTGGAATTATGCATAAGCTCCAATAAGGTGCAAAGAAATTGCATGACTTGTGGTACTCTTCATTTCTACAAAGTTTAAAGCTAGAGAAGAGACTTTATGTGAACTCATTGTTTTATGACAAAATGATCTGATTTAGAGAAATACCTGCTGCAACATTGAGGGAATTACACAGAAAGTTATAAAAAAAAAAATCTACAGTCAGCCAGAACATAAAGCCAACTGTTTCCAGTTACAGATTAAATACATTACACCAAACCCAATATGAGCAGTTTCTTGGCACTAACTGTTGGCCATCAACGGTTTCCATAGACCATAAACTCAGTTCACTGAGAGTGTAAGTTCTGCAGGCAGCAATATGGGTATCTAACATGAAAGGAGGAGACCCTTTAATTTTACAAAAAAAAAAGAGAAAAGTTTTAACTTTTTGAGTGCTTTACATAAAGAAAAAATCCTTCACTTTCTCCATTTGATCATATCCCATCATTCCTTAAAAGAGCACTAACAATTACGACAATAAGGAAGTTTCCACATACTAGGCTACTTATTAATGAACCAAACCAATAACATCAAAGTAGCTTTTAGTGTCAAAGTGCAAATCACAACAATTATGTAAGTCTAATGGCTTTAATATCTCAGAAACATAGAAGTAATAGAAATAAAAAAAATTCTGCCTGGTGCTATGGTTTCCAGGGTGTTGCTATGCAGTTGCTCAGATGTTCTGTCTGTGTTGCTATATGGTTACTTAGCTCTAGATGGTTGCTAAGATATTGCTATGCAGAAAACCTTAGCATGTTGGTATATGGTTGTTAAAGTGCTCTGAGTAGTTGTTCTGATTGGCTTTTAGGCCATTGCCATATGGCTAAAATGTTTGCTGTGATTGCCAGGGTGTTGCTATGGTGTTCTGAGTGTTTTTAGCATGTTGCTATACAGTTGATAGGGTGTGGTTGTTGTTAGGTGATTTGAATTTTAGAGCATTGTTGGTTACTACAATCTAGATGGTTTCTAGGGCATTGCTATGTGGTTCTGAGTGCTTTTAGCATGTTGTTACGATTGCTTGGGTGTTCTTGGTGGCTGTCAAGGAGTTGCTGTGTGGTTGTGTCCTGATTAATTGATATACATTTTCTAAGGTGTTCTGGGTGTTTGCTTAGTGATCCGCCCCACAAGTATCTACGATATTCTGGTCCATTTAATGCAGGTCTATGGAATTTTATAGTGGGTTGCCTATCTTGTATCACTCAATCCCATAACAAGTCCTGAGAGGAACAAGTAACGTGCTGAAGTTTAATACGTTTTTAGGGGTTGAACAAACCTTTAATCCAACATAATACAAGCAATAGTAATAGTGATGTTTATCCTGCCACACACCACTAACAAGTTGGGGACATTGGGCAAAAAGTGGTCTTAGAAGGCTACACACTCACTGGGTTTTGATAGATCCAGCTCAAACTCAGCAGGCTTCGGGCTTCTTTGTCTCTGCCACTTAACTTTAAGACCATTGACGCTCCCTGTGTGTGTGTGTGTGTGTGTGTGTGTGTGTGTGTGTGTGTGTGTGTGTGTGTGTGCTGCCATATCTACCGTCCATGCAAATAGTCTACTGTTGCGCTCTTTATGTTTTATGATTTAAAAGTCTCAGGTTAACGCGCAGTTGCTTGGCAATTGACCCAAACATGAAACATTTTTATAATCGAGGCTCTTGCTCCTTCCTCCCTTAACCCTTCAGATAATGTTAAGTCTTCAGCTCAATTACCCGGTTTACACTCTAAAATAAAACTTCAATCCTGTTTTCTTGAGCATCGATGCGCTGAGTTCATTGGGGACGCGCTTTTCTGTTTAACTTACGACACGCATTCTGCAGCAATAACTAAAGTAAGGTCACCGTGAAACCGTTCAAATTAAAATCACCGCTTGCGTCTCTTTCTTATATTTTATTCATCAACTGAGTAAGTAAATGTGCTGCAAATAGAAGTTTAATTAGCAACCCAAAATTTTCACCCTGAATGAAAAAGCCACTTTTAAATGAATGAAAACATAACTTGCCTCAGCTCTTGATTAAAATATCCCTTTTAATCCACCTTTGAAGGCAAAGCGATATCCCGCTCTAAAAAAATTGGGAAAGATGATTCGCGTGTTGCCTTCCCCGGCGCTTTTGTCTGTGTATGTCCCGTGAGCAGTGTGGGACGCGTCTCTCGTGCAGTGAAACTGACTGATTCTAGGCTACTGCTGCTCCATGAGCACGGGGAGTGGTGACTGGTCCCACTGTGATAATCACCTTATCCCAGAAAAACGCCCATCTCCTCCAACCCCTTTGAATGAACTGCCACAACTTTCGGGAAGTACAAAAACTAGCTGCAACACTGCCATCATGCGTCGTCTTGATGAAATTGCACCACTCACATTGAACTAGAAACTTTAACTCATCCAACACACACTACCAGTTAAAAGTTTGGGAACACCTAATCGTTGTTTATTAGGCTAATATTTTCTCCATTTTAATTTAACAGTAAAGAGTAAGCCATTAATTCTATAAAAATTAAAAAAAAAAAACATAATGGAAGAACAAATTTAATTATGCTGCTAACAAGAGACTGTAATGTAAAATAAATATTAATTTAAATATAATAAAATATAATAAAATAATAAATATAATTAAAAAATTAAAATGAAAACACTTGTCACTTGGACACTGGACACTTGTTGCTAATTTTTAACCATAAAAATAAGTATGCGTTAATATCGAGTTGAGTTTTGAGTCGGAAAGTTAACTCTCAGTTAAGTGAGTCAGTTCAATAACCGAATAATTCATAAAAGTTTGTTATTCCCCAAAAAGGGCAGGCTTATAGGAGTCATATACTGTAGGTGCAGGAATTGCACACTGGTCAAAGTCAATGGATACCCTGGATTTTGAATCACTAAAACGAATAACCGAGGCTATGCGGTTGCTAAGGTGTTCTGGCCTGGGTGGTTTTTAGCACGTTGCTATATGGTTGCTAGGGTGTTTTGAATATTTGCCGGGGCGTTGTTATGCTGTTGCTAAGTTGTTCTGATTGTTGTTTTTAGAACGTTGCTATATGATTGCTGGGTGGTTGCCAAGGCGTTGCTATGTGGTTTCTGTGTTCTTACTGAGTAAATGCATTCTAGCTGCTGACACTTGTTGCTGTTGCTGATTGGGACTATACAGTAGTATCCAACTACAGAGCCGAAGAGCCAGAGGCAGTTTCAGGACAGCCACGCCAGGCCAGCTCTCTCAGACCGAAAGTTAGTGTGCAGAGATTTTACCCATAGCACCTTGGCTCACTACACATTGGACCCTATTTCCAGTGGCATGACTGCATCCTCATTGAAGGGATAGAGCCTAGTGAATCTCTGAATTTCCCCTGCTTGTGAAAAGAAAGTCTCAGAAGACTGGATACAGGGCCATCTAGTGGTACAATGTACAAGAGCCAGTACTTGGAATATAGCTTCACTGGATGAAACTCTTACCTCATCATTGATGCAATTTTTTTTCTGTAGTGCACAAATTAAAGCACAACAACCGTTTACCCTTTGATAATATATTTTAGGTATAATATTACTTAGTGCAAATAAAAGTCAATATTAGTTACTGTAATGTAATTGCACTGCTTAACTCTGTTGTGGGTGCCCAGCGAGCGAGCAATTGATAGCTTGAAAGAATTGTATAGCTATGGCATGTTTTTCACATACAGTTATTTGTATAGTATTAACATATTATTTATTCAGCTTGAATAGCAGTATACCAGTATGGAATAATAATGTCAAAGAAGTTCCAGGGGGAAAAAAAAATTTTTTTTTGTTTTTTTTTTTTTTTCTACAAAGGTGTAAGAAAAATAAGAACATAGCCATAGATTTAGGGAGACCAGGGGTCACGTGGTTATTAAATGTACTTGTGTAAATGTTTTTTTTTTTTTTTTCAACTTTTACAAAAGCATATAGTGACATTTTGCAACAAAAATAAGACAAACACCACTGCGTGAAAAGAGCTGTAATCGGGCATGTAAAACTCCTGAGTACTCCTGTGTACTCCACAAATAAACGTGTGTATACGGGAGTTTGCTGTCCCGTCACACAATCCCGAAAACTCCTGGATATGTACCAAGTTTGGGGCACAGCAGGGAGCCACTAGGGCCATCAGTTACCATGGTGAATAATCCCCAGGTCGGGGTCAATGCAAGGGAACATTAGCATTTCACACCTTTGGGACACAAGGCAGTGGCCTCCTTCAATTGGTCAGAGATCTTACATAGGATTGGGTGCTCAATGCTTTGTCCCTCCTCTAAACCCCCACTCTATTGGTCCAGTTTATGGCCTCATTTGGGTTTATTATTACTCATTATTAATATTCATTGTCATTGGTGTTCATGGTTATAATGTCAAGACAATCAGATAGACAAAGTTGAGTTTGTTATTTTTATTATTTGTAAATGACACTGGGCACATGACATATATATTTATATACACACAAAAAAAAAACGTTAGCACAGAATACATTTTACTATTAGTCATACAATAAATAACCCCATATAATATATATGGCCTGTGTATAATATATGTAAAACAATATAATAACCCGAACAACCCACACCGACTTTCCATCCAATATGGCATCCTACTCTTCAGACATGTGGTCAACTGTTGCAGTCTTCCAGATAGCTGCCTCTTCCTCTGTCTGGGGAACCCCAGTCCTGCAGCTCAGTAGCTGCAAAATGGGAGGGAAAAAAGTAATTAAACCACTGAAAATATCAAATGTGTTGGGATGGGAGCCTCTCCCAGGCTGAGGCTTTTACTCAGATTTAAATGTATTTATACTTACTCTTCTTTTTCTTTGTCTCATGAGCATAATGATCCTGCTGTCCTCCATCTTGTCTTTGTTATCATCTTGGGCCATCCTGTAACCCCTTCTAACAGTTTCAAAATATGTCTTGCAGGATGCTAGAGAGAAGGAGATAGAGAGGGGGAGAATATGTTTATTTGTAACTAACTAATCTATACAGTTAAAAAGTTGTAGCCTTGGTACATTCTCTTGTGACTTACCTTTAACAACAGCAGGATCTATGTCCGGTACAGCCATTAAAAAGATTATGACCTCGAGGTTGTGGGGGGAGGATAGACTGTGAAGCAGTAATTAAAGAAGCTTGATTAAAAATATAATTTAGAAGAAAAGACTGTTCTGAAAGCATAGTTTTAAAGATATACCTTGTCTGTGCGTCATATTTGTGTATGTTGTTTTTCCCATTTTGCAATCTCCATACAGCTTCCTGTAAAAATCCAACATAGTGTAAGGGCTCAATTCGAATAGATTTATACATAAAGCACACAAAGTTAAGCAGACACTGTGATGGTCAGAAAATAACTTACCGCAACAGAATTATTCCCAGCTCTCTTTAATTTCTTTGAAGCAGGCTCCTCTTTTGCCTCTTTGAGCTCATTGATGTCAGCCTCCATCTTATCCAACCTCATGTCCATCATCTCCAGCTTTTTTATAAATATCCTCTTCAAACTTTCATTTGCCATATACACCAGTCTGTTTTCGTTCGGACTCAGAGATTTAATAGCCATATTGTCCCTATGTAAAGGAGTAACATCTCCACTCTGCTCTCCGTAACACTTGTTGAAGATTGACACAATGTAAAGCCTATCACCTTTCCTGAATACTAATGAGGGGGGCAGGGGAATAGGGGCAAACTTGAGCCAGTCCCAAAACAAATTAGCATTTAAAAAGCCAAGCCATCAACTAACAGCATGTGGTCAGACAAGTTCCTGTTTTCGGGCCTTTACAGGCATTTACAGGTACGCATAACAAAGTTCCAAAGATCCCTGCCAAACAGCACATTTCGCGGGCGTTATCATTGTCCGAATTCTCCCGTATACACACCTTTTGACGCAGTGCACATAATGGGGAAAACACATAACAGATATTACATTGTACAGAGTAAAACATTAAATTCTACAAACTATTTTTTTAAATTTGAGATGTTTTTACTTGTGTACATATGGGAGACGGTAACTTTTTATATAAAAGCGGTTTGACTGTTTGGGCTGAGTCTACAGGGTAGACCTACAGATAAGGCTAGCGTACACAGAAACTGCAATGGCATCATAAACAGTTTCCCCAATATTCCAGTGGGCTGTTGGGATGTTTAGTCTCTTGAACTTTAGGTATCTTGAACTTTTATTTTGACGGGATGATTGGTGCACCACTTTTATCTGGACTGTGAAGGCGCTGTAGTGCGCCACAACACCGGAAACAACGTTTGTTCTACTTTCACTTAGAGCAGATCCTAGTAGAAGTACGTGATATGAGTAGTTTGACATAACGGATGTAAACATGTCACATATGTCATTGAAAGAGCAAAGTGGCTGTCGAAAACTGTTAAGATTATTAACCCTGGACGACTTGCTCGCCCTTAAAGATACGGTAACGAATCGACTGATTGCTGTTGAGAGCACACAAGGTAGCTAAGACTAACTTACTATGAAGCTAACCTTTTTCCAAACTGTTCTGTAAATGCCTGGTGGCTAGAAAAGTGTTTAGGTTGGCGGCACACTAAGTTAAATTTTGAGCAATTGTGACTTGTTTATTGTGAGCTGTGTATCTGTCAGTCTGTTACTGTCTATTTCCTTATCAACAGAGGCTATTGAAGCCATCATAACTTACTCAAAAGATGCTGAGGAGCTCCTCAAGAGAAAAAAGGTACACCGGGATGTCATTTTTAAGTATCTTGCCAATGAAGGAGTTGCCATTCTCCCTAATAGTGATAAACATCAGCTGGTCTGGAGAACCATTGAGTTGTGGTCGTCGGGTGAGGTAGGCATCGGGACAGATATTTTTACTCTGAGTGAATCTCTAAACACAATTTGTCAAAAACATATTTGGGTGATATGCATCGCAATCAACAGATTTGTTCCCCCTTGAAAAAGTCCATTTTTTAGGACCATTGAGGGTTGCTATATTGTGTTTTTTATGACACTTAAAGGGATAGTTCACCCAAAAATGAAAATGAAATCATTAATTACTCACCCCCTTGCTGTACCAACCCCTTGACCTTTGTTCATCTTCGGAACACAAATGAAGATATTTACATTAAATTTGAGAGCTGTATCGCTACCATATAGGCTGCCTAAGGGATTGAAACTTGAAGGCCCAGAAAGTCATTGAAGAAAATGTTTAGATATTCCATGTGACTACAGTGGCTCAACTTCAAGTTTATCAAGCAACGAGAATACTTTTTGTGCAAAAAAAATAAAATAAAATAAAAAATAACGGCTTTATTTGACTATTCTTTTTCTTCCTTCTGGGCCTGAGACGAGAGTTCAAGAGATTTCCACAACGATTTTCCAGTGCCGCATTAAAAGTATTAATCTATTTCAATAAATAAATAAATCTTACTGACACCAATCATTTGTGTAATTAATTAAGTAATAAAATAGTCTCCCCATTTCTTGAAAAGCACTGGCTGCCACTGCTTGATAAGTGCTTGAATTTCTTCTTACAAATCTTGTGAAGTTAAGATTTTATAGGTTGTATTTTGACCTGGTCCATATTTCAAACAGATCTCAAGGCATGAGAAGAACACAGTCATTAAAGATGAGGTTGGCGATGGTCTGTCAGACCTTGCAGCTTTGGGAAAACAGTTTTGCCAGTGGTTCTTCAGCCTTCTGAACTCTCAGAACCCCAGTCAAGGGCCTCCGGTGCAGGACTGGGGTCCTCAGCATTTCTGGGAGGACGTGAGACTTCGACTTCTCTTATGTACGGGAGAGCAGCGTGTAGATGAGTTCAATGGGGCACAGATGGTCAGCCAGCGGCTACATGCTCTTGCAGGAGAGGAACGTCTGTTGTTCTGCCCAAACTTGGAGGGTTCTGGGTTAAAGTATGTATCTTCACCTCATGGACTGGTGGTAGTTGCCGTAGCTGGGACCATCCACCGTGACAATGCTTGCCTTGGGATTTTTGAGCAAGTGTTTGGGCTCATTCGCTCACCAATGGACGATAATCGCTGGAAAATAAAGTATGTTTATATAAAAGTAGAAGCACAAGGTGCCATCACAGAGAGACAGTTACCATGTATTACATATGATTCAAAAGAGTTGCTGAGGTTTTGTAATTGAGAGATCTTTGTAAGGACATTTTTTTAAAAGAGATAAGAGATAAACTGGGTTAAACATGGAGGATGTAATGTTCTGTGAAACATCTGTAAACCACTTTATTGTGGGATAGATATTAATTGATAAAATGATCTTAGTTTGTATTTTTTTGTGAACTTAAGGACAGTTTCCAGTCAGTTTGACCCCTAGCAAACCTCAACTCAATTTATACTAAGATTTTTGTAAAATGTAATATTTCAGTAATTTTATGAATATGATTGATCTTGGCCTTACACAATTTTTTTAATTTATAAACAAAACGTGTATAAAAGAAACAGTAAATTTGATTTTTTTTTTTAGTCATTTTAGATCATTTATTAAACAAATAAACAAAAAAAACAATTTAAGATGGCATTCTTACTTTTATATCTTGATTTATTCTTTAATATAGAAATCATCATTTAATTTATATAATAATTTTGTGTGAGGGCTATTTTTAAATTCACACTCAGAATGTCCTTTTTGAATTTGTATTAGAGCCAAAATTTTAATTGTTATGTCATTTTCTTCATTTTTAAAAAAATGATTATTATTATTCATTTGTGAATTCAGGTTTACTAGAATTCAAACTGTCTGGAGTGTTAGAATCGTCTTAAGATTCCACTTAAAATACATTAAAAAAAAAAAAAATTACTGTATTTTTAAGTACTTTTATCAATACTTGCATCACTTCCCAGTAAAATATTTGTCGAGAACATCTCTGTGCATCATGGCTTTTTTGTTTTGTTTTTGGTGACTCAAACACACGGACATCTGTATCTTGGGAAGGACTTTTGTTGTTTTTTATTCCAGCTCCAAATCATTTCCTCAAAATATTAATAATTATGTACAGCAGTGGTGTTACATTCACTCATTCCCGTATAAAGGCCTCATGATCATCAGCTCTGTTGCTTTATTGCAGATGGAGCGATAACACTTTTCACTCCTTACTGGAATAAAGTACCTTTTGTGGGACTTGCGAGGCCAGAAGCGCGTTCTTTGACTCATCAAGCTCTAATTGGGCAGTAGATGAAGCAGCATTTCTCTCTGGAGGAATATGGAAGTGAACATGAGCCGGGCTGGGAGGGGTGTTTACCACAGCAATGTGTGGTTTCAGTGGGGAATGTTATATGTGGGAAATTATTCTTGGCGTTCGCTTCAAAGACTGACGCTTCGATAATATCATTTCTTGAGCTGTTTTTTAATGCCACGGAGTGCCTGTGGCGAAAGACGGCACCACAACCATTGATCTTTTTCCTGTTCACCTCCCCGAAAGAAAAATAACAAGCTCCTCGCCTTCTGTCTTTATAGCCGTGGCCTCTTTCTTTTTAATAAGTGGTTTGGCCAAGCTCACAGTTATGACGTGCAGGTTCAAAAATACAGTTCACTGGCGTCTGCGGATCATTGCGACTTCAGATTGTCTTTAATGGAGAAGTGTGTTTCTCATAAAGCCCATGTTAACGTCTTCGATGGTAAATCTCTTAGATATGTTTTGGAGTGGTGAACAATGAACTTTAAATTGGCGAGCCTATTTTTTTTTTTTTTTTTTTGGTTACGTTTAAATTATTGCTTTAAAGGTTAGAAAATAGCACATAAGATCTTTAATGTGTTCACTTGTTTATGGCCTTTATAGGCGTATTCAAACTGAATGGCTGCGCTAGATTAAAACGTCTCTCTACTAGACGCTCATTCACTTATGAATCTATTTCATAGTGGAACTTAAGAGAATTTAGACGTTTGGGCTAAGCTTTATTGCCGTGCTGTACAGAACCAACTGTTTAAACTTGAACTATTAAGCTTTTTTAATTACTAGGACAATTTATGCAATCGAGTTTATCAAAGAGCGGCACAATAAATCGTTTAACCGCTGCAAGGTTAACTCAATTACAACACCTACAATCTTATTCGTGAATGTCAATGTCCGTTAAACCGTTGACAAGTATTACAGCAAACAGTCAGATCTGCGAACATTCAGATCTTATTTTTAATTAGTAGCCTAATTACTTCATGACTGCTATAAAAGTACATTCTATAGGCCTAGGCTAGTATACAAACAAATTCTCTCCCGTGGCCTCAAGGGATGGTAAAGTGTCCATTATATGCACACTTCAGAATCTATTTTATGAGTTATGAATGTTTGAATGTAGCTTGACACTTCAAATGATTGTATCAATTATCCCAGTACCTACGTGGCAACAAGTGACTGTTAAAAATGTATTCGACATTGAGTCATTAGTTCAAGAGATTCAATCAAAAACGCTGATTCATCCAGTATGAAACAAGTGTACTGTAATAAAGTGTTAACGGAAATTGTTTTGTTGTATTCATTTAGCTGAAATGTGTATCTTTTCTTAAAGGGACAGTCCCTTTGGTATAGCTGAGCTTCAGGAAATAGTGATCTGGTGGCTTTTACAGTTACAGATTTGAAAAACTAAAGACAGAATTAAAGAACCCTAACACACAGAACCATTTTAGCATATAAAGGGTTCTTCATACAGTTCTAAATAGAATCGTTACTACATTAAAATAAGTTTTAAAGAACCATCTTTTTCGAGTGTATTTTGAATCATATAGCCTAATTAATATGATTTTTAATGACTTCAATAATTTAATGGTATACATTTAATAATCATCATCATAATAATAGATTTTTTTAAGTAACAATTAACATTTTGTCATTGTTGTCTATTCAGAATCTTGAGAGAATCGTGATTTTTCTATTCGATTTCTAAAAAGATTTTTAATTGATCCAGAATCGTGCAAATCTTGTACATCAGCTTGTTAGCCAGACTTTGCTGGTCTGCTATAGCCTATTTGTCACAAAATCAATGAAATGCCCACATGGGGGCACAGTTGCCCCATTATTTGTGTCAAACTCAAGAGACAAAAGCAATTATTTTAGGAAATCAATTTGTTTTATGCAACTCCAATGTTTTATAGTGCTGTTCATGTACCAAAGTGTACATTTTGAACTTTATTGCTGATTGCTTGCTTGTAAATCAATCTCATCCTAAGTGTATTGCAAATACCTAAATTATTATGGAAACAATTGGATGAAGTATATTAAAAGTGAACATTATTTATTGATGTATGTGACAATGTCCTTAGTAAAAGAGGGGTGGGGAAGAAATAGAAAAACTCCTTGGACCAAGTAATCCATCTATTAAACCTTTGACAGGCCAGACAAATCAATTGGTTAATTCAATGAGTAGCTGTTTGAAGTCCGAGAGACCCTCATCCATAAGAATTACAGACGGCATTTATAGTGCATCAGTGTACTGTGGTGTGTTTATACATGTGGGAAGGACAGAACCTGAAGACATGATCAAAATTTATCATCTGACCTCTGTTCACTTGTACACTAGTCTGTGAAATGTTGCAGGGATCAAAACAAACTCCCTTGTATGAAGTGCAGGCGGATTGATTTAAATGAGAATGAGTTTATTTTGCTTCTGCCGTCGCTGACCATTTAAAAAAAAAAAATCCATAAAGAGTAATGAGCCAATGTCATATTATATGAATCTTAATATTAAATTGATTAGTTACCAAAAAATATCTTTAAACAATGCTGGGTTGTTTTAACACAAATTTGGGTAAAATATGGACAAACCCAAATGTTGGGTTAAACCAACTTCAGCTTTCACTTTCAACTAATTTTTTTTAATTACATTTTTAACCCAGCATTTGGGTTTGTCCATATTTTACCCAAATTTGGGATGAAACAACCCAGCATTTTTATAGTTATTGATAAACCAAATGTTTAAATTTCTCATAATTTAAGAGAACATTTGTTCGATTCTTTAAAAAAAAGAACAGTATTAAATGGTTGAGCTTGTGAAATGTAATCAAAAAAAAAAAAAAAAAAGAAAAGAAAAAAAAAAAAGAATGAGATTTATTTTGTTGCTTTCTCACCATGCTAGAAAGGGTCCCAATAATATGTTTGTAATGGATGAACATTATGCAATAGCATGTTGCAAAGCTAAATAAAGTTACAATACAATAAGTTAAATTTAAATAATACATTTAAAATACAACAGATTGCAATGTCATGATATTGTGTAATTGTGTTTGTTGGATATTTTAATTAACTTAAAAGAAGGTTATAAAGTTTGTATTTGACACATTTTTTTTGCTTCTTGGTGTACAGTAATAACTAACATGTTTTAATGTTACATTATAGTTTTTCTAATCATGCACTTCAAAAAAAAGAAAACGGATTTTGTGTCTTATTTTTTCAAGCACCGATCTTTGTGGAGCGTGGTGAATATTAACCCTTTACTTCATTGTGGAGCTCTTTCAGTTCTACAGAAGAGGCAGCGATGCAGAATTTGGGTTCCTCTGGTGCAGTGAATAAGCACAATGCAGTTCACCGAACGCAGTAAAACTGTTGACAAATGAAATAAATGGAAATAATTCAAGTGATGTTTGACCTTTATTTCACTTGAATGTTTACACAACAAATCAATCCTCTCAGAGCTGAAGGTGGTCTGTCAGAAAGTCCTTTTTGAAGTATTTGGACACACACTCTGTAATATGTGTACGAGGAGTGAGCGGCGGGTGTTAAAGAGGCTTGAGTGTGTCTGCTGATGGGGAAATGATCATGTTATCTGGAGTGCCAGCAGACTGTCAGGTTGGCTTTGGCTGCTGTCCTCTGGCTCTTCAGGACATCTGCTGTATCTGCATCTAAACACTGATCTCAGGCCTGCTGCTAGCCTGTGTATATTAATTGCCCTTGCCTCCTTCGCTGTTTGCCACTGATTACTCTCATTAATTTCAATTCCCCATGACCCCCCCCCCCCAACCCCCTCTCTCTCTCCATGACATCAGCACACAAACATTCCGATGCAGTTTGGCTGCTGTTAATAAAGTCAGCGTCCACTATGTTGTTTCCAGGATGTGTCTATAGAGTTCCTGTTTTAATTATTTAAAGGTAATAAATTTAGTGGTAACACTTTAAGCTTTTTTATGTTAACAGAAGGTAGCAAAGATGACTGAACAGTACTTTAACAACATTTGTTAATGTATTTCAAAATTTACTTTACATTTTTTTTTTTTACAATCAAAATTATATTTAACTAACATTAACAAAGATTAATGGTAACACTTTACAATAAGGTTCATTAGATAACACACTCTAAAAAATGCTGGGTTGTTTCAACCCAAATTTGGATAAAATATGGATGAACCCAAATATTAAAAATATAGTTTAAAGTTTTAACCCAACTTAAACTTTCACCTTCAACTGTAATTTTTTTATTACATTTTTAACCCAACATTTGGGTTTGTCTATATTAGACCCAAATTTGGGTTGAAACAACCCAGCATTTTTTTTTAGAGTGCATTAGTCACTGTAAAAATATATTTTCATGATTTGTAATCACAACATTTTTTATTTTGTCAAATCAACTTAAATAATTTATGTATTTCAGATAACATAATATTTTGAGTTTCTGTTGATTAAATCAATCTCCTTCATTGTATTAACTCAATTTTTCCATTTCAGTGAACTTAAAATTTTAAGGCAACCAGGTCACTTAATTTTTTAAGTTAAACCAACAATATTTTTTACAGTGTATTTAACGTAAACTACGAATGAACAATACATATCAAAGGTTGGATATGTTAACATTAGCTAATGCACTGTGAACTAACATTAATGAACAGCTGTATTTTTATTAACTAACATTAACAAAGATTAATAAATACTGTAACAAACGT